TTGTTTCTACTAGCTTCTTGTTACTACTAGTAAGGCACTTGTTACTAGTCTCAAAGTTTAAACCCTGCTTTGGGGGAAGTTCTGGCGCCTTCGGTGGTGAAGCAACTCGTCCATTTCCCCAAACCGCCAAAGTCGTACCAAGACGGACCTCATTGGCCTGAAGCCCTGCGGCCGCCATACGCTCCAACCTGGCAACGTGGTCGCGGATCCGAAAGGTTGACCCTACAAAACGCCGGCAGCTGAAGCTGGTGAACTACGCTTAAGGACCTCAGAATGGATGGGATGATTGTGTCATGTGCAGTCGGCACCAAAAAAATACCTGCAACTATATTCAAAGGGACCTCAGGTATTTCAAGTAAACCAACATGAAAACCTAACAAGAAGGAAAAAAAACACTCTTTTGTTTACCATGTTAGACGGGGGTTCCAACTTCCATTCATTCTTAAAACGAACCAACATAGACCCACCCACAACAGTCGCAGGCGAGAGTGCCCTTATGAAAGAGCAAGGCTGGGTAGCAGGGATGAGCATCACTGACTATATGCTCCCCATAATATATAGCGTTTTCTTTCCCAAGTAGAGGGTCTTACATGGTATGGAGGTACTGTTGCGGCAGCTGATCACGTGCTTGTGCTTGGAAATATTCTTTCTAGACCCCCACCAGGTGTCCGAGCATCCAGGCTGATACAATCTGAGCAATTAAAGAACCGGAAAACAGACCTAGGGTCCTGCAGTCTAAGATCAAAATACGGGAGTAGACATGTCGGAGTGCGCAAGGTCTCAAAATGAAAGAACCGAAGCACCTACAAATGGTCTAATAGTGAATAGGATGCAGAGGTCTACTTGCATGCTAGCATCATGCTAGACCGAGGTGTCGACCCTGAAAGGTCACCCATTCGGGTCGACCCAAAGTAGTTGATGGTATCACAAAAGCATAGGCCAGCAGCACCAGTAGCCGGCCAAGTCCAGCTCGCCCTGCCAAGAACCCGCAAGGCCCTCATGAGACCTTTCAAAACCTTCTTGAGGACTTCCTGATGACAAAAAGCGTGGAGGCTCACCGGAATAGAGCCAAAAAGGATGTGTGAATGGCAAGCTGCGGCAAGCATCTTATTTTAGCAAGACCAATCGAGACCAAAACAAACCACTTGAACATCACATGGCTCGCCTTCTGTACACAGGCCTTGATGACGCTGCTATAGCCTAGGCCGGGACCGAGACCGGGGATTTGACCACAAGAAGAGCATGTTGGCGGAAGAAATCTGGACGGTCAGTGGGGCGATGAGCTATCCTACAAGGCACCAAATCTGAACATCGAACATGCACCGTCTGAGATGTTCACCAATCAACATGGATTGGACCATGTGCAGGTTGACTCAAACACTACTCGCAGGTCAGGCGAATGAAGCCTTGTAGCAGTTCCCTAGCAAAATCTGGACTTCCACACCCACACGCAGCACCCTGCAAGGCCTGCCCTCTGAAGAGGCTTGCAGGAGACCACAGTCTCCAGGCAAACGCCCTAATGAACACGAATCACGGTCATCTCACTCAGTTTCTCGCTCACTTCATCAGCTTGGATGCCCTCGCTGAGCATCTTCTCCTCAGTTCTTTGATTTGGAAAGGATCATAGCAAATTATCCTATCCTCGGAATTGATCTCCTCAACAAAATATCTCAAGCAGAATAGCGGTGAAAAAAAATGGATAGATCCAGGAATGATGTTCAGTATTGCATTTTGGATCCAAAATGAGGATTGCTGCCATTTATGGCTAGGCTCCCATCCCTGACCCGGTTCGCGTGTGTTGTTCTGCTAAGGAGTACCCGCTCACGCCCACGCAGAGAAAACGGCAAAAAATTAGAATAAACAAAAAATACTGTGTTTACCGCGCGTGCGGTAAAAGAAAAGGCGACCCCAGGAAAAACAGATAAAAAAGAATGTGCTTTCTACCGGTTTTACCACGTGCGATAAAGAGCATAAGGCGACCCCCCAGGACAAACGGCAAAAAAACACAATGATGACGATAAAACATAAATGTCGATGTCTACCGAGTCTACCGTTCTTTACAACGCGTGTGGCAGCACAAGAAAGGGCGACCCCCCCGGGAAAACGGTAAAAAAGCATACAGTAACATGTTTACCGCTTTTACCTCGTCCTAGTGCCTCCAGGGAACCCCGTAGCCTGAGCACAGCCCATCCTCATCCTAGTTGCTTGTCGACTGTCGACCCTCAAAACTCTCATCCGTCCCCCAATAGCAATGGATGAGCCCACACTAATTACTTCTCCGATTGGCAGGGCCATCTGCTGATGATTCTTTTCCCTGCGATACTGAGGCAAACCCATGAGAGCTTGGCTCGGTGTAACATTGCACTGTGTGCTGCGTCTGTCGGTGCTCACTTAACGGCAAAGTCCAACATCCAGGGACCAACAGATCTGGCGCACAAAAGGGAACTTAAAATAGGAGAGGGTCGGAACCAGCAGCTCCCGAAAACCTTCAAACCAGGCAGTAGCCGAAGCTAGCTGCAGCATTTGCAGCTGTTGTCATGAAATCCATTTGCTGCCTGCCTGACACGAGACTTGGACACCCTGAGATCCCAACGAGCCATGTTTCAGCGCGCTCAATGTCTCTTCTTTGTGCACAAGCCTTGAACGCAGTGAAATACGGTGTCAACCAGAAAATGCTTCTCCAAGAAGACACTGAAATAATTGAAGACTACTTAAGTGTTTAAGGTTTAATTTCTAAAAATAAATCGCTGTGAGAATTGGGCTCCAATAACATGGTGACATACCATGAAATGTCTGAAGATCCATGTCATGTCACGTTGATGACGCTGTTGTAGCTGAAAGCATCAGTCTTCACACCAGCAGCCAACATCTTCTCCAGCCACATCTCCTAGGCATGCGAAAGGTCTCTGAAAACTCTGAAAATTTGAGCATGAGATGTTGAAAGACTTTACAGCTATCACCAGTTCACCCTCCACACCAATGAGTTTTGAGAACACAAGCATCAAGGCATGGCTTCAAAAAACCAAATCAAGATCATGATATCATGGGGAAAAGAAGAAAACAATGCGTAGCTTCCTTGCTAGTCACTACTCGCTACTTACCCCCTTACCTATATAATACTATAAGCTTGTTCACAGCCTAGCTGCCTAGGCCTTAAAACCCAGAACATGCTCGGCCAAGGAGCCGCCCGGCTCACACGCCCCTTTTGAGCGCATGCGTTGATGACGCTATTGTAGCTCACCTGTCTCGGCGTTCGCTGTTCGCGTGCGAATCCCGATGTGACCCTGGTCGATGTCATCCTCTCACCGCTGACTCCATTTGAATGACCAACGCCACATGGACAGTCTCGGGAGATTGTTCACCAATCCTTTAAGTGGAGGTTGATGACTTTTAACAGCGGATCCCACAGGTGCCTCATTCGCTTGGACACCCGCTTCCAGCATGCGGCCGAGCCTCAGTCTGCCAACAAGCAAATGAAAGAATATGTCAAAAGCTATTGTCTGCTGTACTTTATATGTGCGTGTCTCCAAGGCAAAGCAATGTTTGTTGTTTCAGTTTCGTGGACGTTTCAAACAGGTGGAGAATACATAATCGGTACAAGTTTACAAACGTTGCAAAAAGAAACCCTTAAGAAAGCCTCATGGACGGATGTTAGCAATCCAATTCAATAGCTTGCTGCCCATGTCATTACAACTTTGCAAATCAAACATCAGACGCAATTTCCAGCCAGCTCTTTCGATTCTTTTCAACGAATCAGCGTGTTGGCAAACAAGCAAGTGGCCAAATGCCATCTGTGTTGCCGCCAGTACATCTTGACAGCCAAGCATTGCCAAGTCTCGATCTTCTGCGCCTTGCGAATGTCCAAAGTCTGTCAGATAGACTTAGGTAAAGTGTATGAAGGACAAACCGTTCCCGGAGAGTCTCACGCGAACAAACCGTTCCCAGAGATGCACACTGGGCTTCCCCCCATCGAAACACATTGCATTGGTACACCGACCTGATCCTTGCAGCAGGTATTGTGGCTCATGTTGCAGGGCTGTCCTACTCCAAGGCATTTCTTGCACAAGACATGGCATAGAGTGCCTTCTTGGCACTCTTGTGCCTTTCCGTCTGGCTGAAATAGGAGTGCACAGCCACCCCCCTGCAGCAGTTTCATAGACGCATCCAGCAGGGTAGGCTGATCCATTTGACAAGGTCTTGATGATCGACTTCCAGGGCTGCTGATAGCATCCACCTCCAGGCCAAAACATCTCTGCCACTTCTGCACACTCAGCCTGGCTGGCCAGTGCAGTCATGTTGCCAGCACAAGCGTGGTTGCCCTCGTCTTCATAACTGTTGTTGCTCGTAGCCTCTGGCAAGATAGCACCTGTCCAGAGTAAGAGCAGCAAGTTCTTGAAAATCTTCAGTGTCAAATCTCCCATATTTGGAGAGACAGCGCTGCCGAAATCTGCCTAAGTCTTGAGACCCTGAGCACTTCGGAAATGAGCACTTAGACCAACACATGGTCTTGGACGGTGCGAGACTTGGAGAAACAGATGACTTGCTGTTCGATCCTCGATATGTTTCAGACGAGACCCGAGACGCCCCCGAGACCCCAGACGCAGAGACCCCCATCCCAATCCTGGGCCCTTGGCCACATCTCAGCACGCTCGACGTAGCCAGTTTGAGCACAAGCGTTGATGACGCTGTTGTAACTGACCTGACCGAGTTCCGCGCGTTCCGCGACCGAGGGGCGTTCCGCGTTCCGCGGGGTACACGGTCGAATGCTTTGTTCTGCTCCAGTCACGTTTTGTCTAGGCATGTCACGTGTTGAGCGGTCACAGTTGAAATAGAGGAGATGTTTGAAAGAGCAACGGCAGAGGGTCTGCAAAGGTAGATCTAGAACGTTTCCACCTGTTCTTCATGTGGAAGTTCTGTACCATGCTCTCTAAATGGCACGGAGCCAGTGCGATCATCACTCCGGCATCATATGGAACAAATTCCATTCTATTTCACTTCGAAGCTGGCATGTGGGACCTCGTTTGGCTTGAGGTCGTTGTCCTGCATCCAAATCAGCCATTCTTCTGCTTTCTGCGGTCGCCTCAATGAGGCGCCAAAGCGGTTGGAATTGGGCACGTCTTTAAGTGCAAAGCGTTTCAAGGAACACAAACAACTCCAACAGTTACTTTTAGAATGGACACAACCAACTCCAATATATATATAGTATATATATAGTTAATTACAGTAGTTCCTCCCAAAGCAATTAAGGAACAGCCAGCAGTCAATGCTCATCCAAAGCGGTCATTCTTTAACATCTACATTCCTCCTTTAAGCGGTCAAAGTAGTTGTGAATTCCTCCGTGGATCCCCGTCAGTGGAGACTGTTACAGTAAATAAGAAAACGTCTGCACACCGTGGGCTTTGTCCCAAATTCCACCGGCGAAAAAAGAGAGAGAGAGAGAGCACGGCGCGCCGCACGCGCCTAGCTTTGGCGAAGACGTTGATGGCCGCGTTGAGGTGAATCCTGTTCGGCCTCACTGGCGAAGAGGTCAAATCTCAGCGAAAGGGGCTTTGAGTGACCAGCATCTCTACTGTCGGTACACGATCGAATTAGGGCCGCTCGAAGACTAAGAGCTTTGCTTAATGTTGCGGGCCGTCATCTCTGCAAACACTGCATCCACATCCCACCTGAACCACTTCTGGCAAAAAAGAAAAAGCAAAAGCTCCACATGGATGTCTCAGCTCGTCTTCTGACCGCTTTCCTCACACTTCGCAGTTCCCGCACACTCAAACCGACGGAGTCCCGCCAGCGGCGCTCTCGTGCCAGCTTCGCCAGGATCGAGGTGAACACGCCGGGGCCTCCGAACCGACTCGGACTCGGCCGAACCCTCGAACCCTCCAAATGCATCCGCTGTTTCGGTCGAACAATCTTCAAGGTGTGGAACTTCCGAAAACGCAGTCGTTCCATCCCCAAAACGTCAGTGACATGAAAAGCAGGGAGAAATCGAAGACAAACCAAAACAGAAAAGAGTCCACTTCTGTGGCCACTCTTGTTCCACTCTATCATTTTTCCCAAGTACACACGCCATCCACTCTATCATCGCGAGTCATGCCGCATTCCGGTTCCGGGTGGTCACGCCTGAGTTCCGGGGCATGGCCGCCAAGGTCTGGGTGAAGCGAGCCTTGCAACGACGAACGCCCCGTCGGACGGCCGACCGGGCGGCCGACTGGGCGAGCCTTGGAGCCTTCGCTGGACGTGCTGTGCGCGCGCAAACATCGTGGCTCCCGTGGTCATTGGGCCCATCTTCCACAAACACATCCTGTTCTGCGGGTGTTTTTCGCCATTCATTCCACAGTCATTCCGCATTCATTCCATATGCCATTTCGTGGATCGCAAGTGCAGATCCATCCCTCCAACCCGAAGTGCATCCCCCCAAAAGTTCCGATGAACAAGGTCTCTTGTCTCTGTCGGAGTGCCTTTTTCTGTGCTGACGGTCAGACGAACAGACAATCGATGGTCATTGATGGTCAATGTGTGTACCAGGATCAACTGCAATGCTCAAAAGAACATCAAGAATCAGGCTCAGAAGCTCTGTGGAAACCCCTTGGTGCCCCCGCATCATCTTCACGACGTTCTTTCTCTTGCCTCAGTGCAAAGCTCTCTGTCTCGGAGGGTGTTCACTCAAGCAAGTTGGATGCTGAACAAGGGAGGCGCGCCTGGGGTCCTTCCCATTGTTCCCATCGGGAACATCAATACCAGAGGCCTTGCCAAGATGGAAAGGTCCAGTGTCTTTACAAAGCAGAAACACCTGGCAGTTCAGGTCGACTTGGATGTTCGAGATTGCTCGACAACTGCTCCCTCCTGAAGGTTCGACACCATCTGCAGGGTCTCTCAGCCTCCATGAGTGCGGTTTCGTCAAACATGATCAAACATAGAACCGGTAGTGTCTGACCACGAAGTGTTGGTGAGAATAGATCCAAATGTCACAAGCACACAGGTCTGCTTCAGAACTGCACCTCTGCACATCAGCTTCCCTGGGCACATCAAGTCAGGACGGTCTGAGAGATTCCAACGACTCCTACAAGCAACTGACGTTGTTTCGTGGAAGATCTAAGGCCGCTGACGTCAACAAATGACACAAGTGGCACGAGGATGATAAAGTCACCTGTCTAAAACCGCTCAAAAACCGCTCGAAAACAGCCCATGTTCACAATCTCAACAACCAAGGCAAACAAAACAAAAAAAAAATAAAGGATTCAAAAAAATATGTTCAAAAGAATCACTGGCAGAAGCTTTCAGTCGGCGAAATGTCATGATCGTCTCGACTCTCGACGGTTTTTTTCTGCGAAACCTTTCCATCGCGGGCGAGTGGCAGCCGTCGACGGTGACCGGCGTTGAGGTAAAGTTTCAAGCAGCACTGGCCAAAGACTAGTGTTTAAAATGGGCGTTCGTTGTGCTTTGCTGCTGTCAATCGCACATGTGGAGATGAACTTGATGTTTGACTGACAGTAATGAACGTTTGCAACATGCTCACTACGCTTGCTAAGAGTGATTGTTTAAAGTTCTTGGCCCAAAGTCCAGTGTTAAATCCAGCGAATCCACTACCGCTGCTCGCAGGAGGCAGCCAGTCTTGTGGCCAGCTGTAAGATGCCTTAGCCGGCAGTTCTTTCCAACAAGAAGCACAGTGAACAGGGAGTTCCCAAAGCAGATTTCCAAGAATTTCCACATGTCCATGTTCGATTTCAGAGAAATCGAATCATTTCCGGACCAAGATCTCCAGAATTTGAGCTCGGTTCACCTCGCTCTGCTACAGTTTGTTGGCTGTTGGTTCAGCTCTACGTTGTCAGGCTACTCTGGATTTGGGTGCGATTGCTTTTCGGTGACCACCGGTGGTCGCTTTGCACGTCCGCGTACCCGTTAAACGCGACACGTACCCAAAACGGGCACAACGTTGCGTTCACTCCCAAGGGCACAATGACTGCTGCCCAGTGACTGTTTTCAAGGTGATGATCCAAGCTTCTTCGAAAGCTTTGGCGGAGAGAGAAAAGCCCAAAAGGCTGCAGGGTTTTTCGAGAAAGCTCTGAAACTCGCAAAAAGAACTGGTATAACTAGCTGCACCACATGAAAGCACTAGCTCACTCAGTGGAGTGAGTTGAAAATTTACTTTCTGCGTTTCGTCGGTGGCACTCTGCGGAGTCGGTGTCACATCTGCGTCGGAGGCGCTGAGTGTCACGTCTGGTGCACGTCTGGTGTCCTTGGGTGCCAGCTGCTGCGACTGTCGTGTCTGCAGCATCAGGTTGACCTGCCAAATGCGGCGGTCGGCCGTGTCTGCAAGTGTTTCCAGGACCCTCGGCGGACCATGGCTATTGCTCAAACCACAAAAGAAATCCTGACTTGCAGTACCACATAATGCAGCTCATACGCATTCATTTCAGGCATTCTCATGTCTTGAATCCATGGTCGAAAAGCCGATCTGTGGAAAATGGACCTGCTAGAAATCCACTGCATAACCACTGACTGTCCACCTCAAAGATCTGGCCAGGCCCCAGCTCCTGCTTTGAATGGACCATCTTCCCTCTGCAACTGGAAAAGCGAAAAAATGGGGCTTCATGGTAACATGGAACCCGAGTATTGCTGTTGCACATTGCTTTTGTGCACTAAAACAACCCTGCAAACCGGACCAACCCCCAAGACTGACCCCAACACGCACTGATCCAGGGCGTGTTGACCCACACAATGTCTTTCATACAAAGGCCATTTGCGACCGAACTAAATGGATGATGATCCATGCTTTCAGTGGCCACAGTAAACTCCGCAAACCATGTTGATTGGCCTTCCATTCCCAATGGCCATGGAAAAAAGAGAAAAAAAACATTGCAACGGCCGTACAGGCCGCAAAGAAAACCGTGTTCAGGATGTGTCCTGCAATGTTCAAACGGTGTTTCACACGTCACTTCGCTATAGAATCCCTCACCGCCGGCCGCTGCTGTAGCATGCAGAAATCCTAGACCCGTCGAGAGTCAAAAGCTCCTGTAAATACAGCTCGCACGCATCATTCAAGTACACGATCACCGTATCCTCCGTTATTCGTACCTTCCAGTCGATGATTCTCAAAATTAATTCAATGGGCACATCATCCTATCTATGCCTCTCCATGTGCGTATGCATAAATAGATGTACATATACAGTTAGTATATACATACATATATATATATATATGTCATATGTATGTATCCTTTTACGAAGAGATGTGAAATGAATGATGTGAACACGATGCAAAGGCGTTCATTCCTCGGTCGTTTTCTCTTTTTTCTTTGCATTCCTGTATAAGGTGATGTCACCCGCCTCATACGTCTTGGAGGGATCTCCTCTTGGACAAAGGCCTCGAGCGGCATCGGCAGTGTCAAGGCTCAGTCCAAATCTCTCTGGGCACCCATGCTCGCCACAGCCACGCTCGGCCCCAAGTAGTAGAGAAGTACGACCTGGACCAAGAAGCAAGGGCTTACACCCTCCATCCAAGAGACACATATGGAACCTGAAAGCCAAGAACAAAAGATTCGGGCGGCCCTTTTCGGTTGCCCTCGCCCATAACCCCGAGGTCACACCGACTCAACACCACTCACGTCTCTAGCTGGAAGCTAAGAAGGGCATCGCCTAACAAGAAGCTACAAGTCACGGTCGGATTGGCGGGTCGGATCCCGACTCCAACCGCCGCCCTCACCTTTCTGGAGGCGCAATGGCTCGCGTAGCGGCAGGCCTCTCAGATGCGCACGTTGCTCGATCCGGACAGCGACGTCTGGACGGCGACGAAGGTCCACCGTCTGTGTCGAAGGATCCTGATACGGTATCAAGCCCAACTGTCGAAGACTTGGGTTTTGGGATCAGCTGTACCATATCAGCTGATGCTTCAAAAAAGCTTGGCAGCTTGGCAGCTTGAGTCCCCGCCCACCCCGCTTCCACCCATTGATTTGCCAAACGAACTTCTGCTCCCTCCGCCAATGCACCGCGCTCCGCAGCCTCCTCTGGATCTATCAAGTCAGGTGGGTCCTCGTCCTGTTCATCAGCCACAAACCCAAACCCAAACAGCAGGCCACAGGAATCCAAAGGATCTGCCTGTCCCAGGAGATCTCAACTTCAGGTTGAGTCCCAGTCTACTCTGTAGACTCTCAGGGTCAACCAAATGAGAGAACCAAGGCTCACGCAGGGATACATGCCCATCACGCAGGGCTCGGCTGACCAAATCACTAAAACAGACTTCCTCTCGACCGTTCTCCTCTGGAAGCCGACAATGATGTAGGAGTCCACTCACACGACCACGAACAGCCCTGTGTAGATACCTGTCATCCAAAGAGAAGTCAAAGCATGAGACGAAGTCAAAGCCTCAATGACTTCTCCCGTGCCTGGCATCCCCAAAGACACGTGAAGAACACTCATGGCTTTGATCAATGTTCTTTTTTGGATTTGAATCCACTTCTATGCAGTGCCATTGAATCTGCAAGCAAAGCTATCCTTTTTGACTGCTTCACGACTCTCTCTCGAGCTGTTCTACGCAAAGAGCAAAACGTGAGCAAAAAAGAGGATTCATGGCTTTCTCAGAAAGTCACCATCAATATCTCAACTACAGCTTCACTGTCCAACAACAGTGCAGCTTCCGGAACAAACCACTCCTTCTGTCGATCTCTCACTCAGACCATGGGGCTCACCGTGCCAGCCACCGGATCGAACCACAGCTGCAGCGAGGCGGACGCGGCAGCCTCCGGCGGCACACAGAAGGTCAGTTGACGCCCGTCGGGCACAGTCACCGACAAGCTTTGCCCACTCGTGACGCCAGCTGGAATGGTGATCTCTAAGACTTGTCCTGGAGACAGCGGTCAAGAGAGTCGAAACGGCACCTCGGTATGTGTGACCTTTGGAGATGTATATATGGGTCAGTCACACCAGAGGAGAGCAAGATTTCATCGTGCTCAACCTACAAACTGTCAAAGTCCAAACTCCTCAAACAGTCCAACCTCCCTCCAGAATGATCTCTTGTCAAACCTGGCCATTCCACACCTACAATCTGCCCAAGTGCCTCTGTCAAGTCACATGCAAAGCACCTTTAGAAATGTCCTGAGCATATAAATGGTGTTTCCTCCGTAGACGTTCCAGGTTCAAGGATTTTTGCACAGTGTGTTCCCATTTTCACCAGCGGCTTCAGATGTCACCAAAAGAAGCGATTCCCTTGTTTACGTACTGTAGATAAAACGATTTCTATTGGAACAGAGGCCCAAAGAAACCATATCTCTCAGCAGAAGTGGTTCCTCCCCTCACACCTACAGCAACGAAACGCAGATCCTTCTGGCTCCGGTGCCGAGGCTGACGGCGGCGCTGGCGCTGTGTCTGGGAGGGTATGCACACCGCCCACTTCCAGGAACCCACGAAGCTCCAAGCACCAAAGTCCACGGCTGTGGGGGTCATTCAGGATCCGCGTCAGCCACCTGCCCCAAACACGGAGACCGACTCCGGATTCGTGGTATGTTTTAGCGACTCAAAGACCTGCTGGAGTTTCTGAAAAGGGTTTGGAGCATGAACAACCATGTAAAACAGTTTTTGCATCGGCTCAGTGGATCAAATTGCTGATTGAATAGCACCGAAGGGCTGAACAGCATCAACACCTTCACTCAACGGTTTGTAGAACCTTGGTGCAACACAACAGGTTCTAACCCTACAGAGCCCGAATAAAAACCTGCACCCACCCGATCCGACGTCGACCAGGAAACACACAGCGCCTTTCAAGACCGTGACGTCGATCTTCCAGCTTCGCACCTTCACAACTAAAGAGGTGCTTGGGAGGGAAGTCCTGGCTGATCCAGCCATGCGGTGCCATGCGATGGAGCCGCTCCTGCGAGGAAAACACAGAATACAGACCCACGAGTGCTCAGCTGGCACGAGGAAAGGCGAGGAACATGCCGTCCCGCCAATTCCCATGGCCAGCTGTAGGGACTTTAGGTGGCATTAAGACCAGACTGTGTGTCACGCACATCCTTGGGCAGTCATAGCTCCCCACATGCCAGGCGAGGGCTGTTAGATTTTAAAGCTTCCTTCTCCACCTCCTTCTCTGGATGGGCACTACCGGGCCGCAGTGGGCACCCCCGGACCTGAACCGTGAGCGGACCGGAATCCGGTCCGTGGATCAGCGGACCGCAACCAGCTGCGCTGATGCCCAAAAGAACAGATTAGATGCCCAATAGAGTGGCAGTATACATGCGAGATAGGATGTCAGAAAGTATGCACGAACACATGCCAGATCGAATGCCAGTATACATGCTAGATAGAATGACAAACTGAATGCTAGGTCGAATGCTCGTGTATATATATATATATGTCCGAATATACTTAAGATAGAATGCCTCAATAGATGCCAAACAGAATGTCACAATACATGCCCAACAGAATGTTGCCAAATAATGTCAGAATAGATGCCAGATATAAAATGTCACCATTTATGCCAGAATATATGTCAACTTATATGCCAAATAATATGCAAGAAAGAATGTCAGAAGCTATACCACGTAGAATGCCAGAGGTGATGACAGAAGATATCGGACCCAAACTCTCATCACTAGAGTGCAGTAGACACCGCCTTCAGACAAAACATGGTGGACAATATGATTACATAAAGAAATTTTTACTTGTCCAACAAATGGTGTCAATGGCCTGGTGCATGCGTTTTCACTGGTTCGTGTGATCCAACAAATGTCGCATGGCGTCTTGACTTGTTTGGTGCGGAATTTCAGATGATCTCCACCGCATCAAAACAAAGCCTTGAAAAGTCGCGGGGATCACTCGAAGTAAAATACTTATTTTGAATGCTTGCTCGATGGCATCTGGCCCGACTCACCCCCATCCTTCAACCCATCAAAGTCATTGTATCTCTTCTGCAGTCGGTAGGAGGCCCCCTTTTCTGGCACCACATCCACCGAGAAGAAGGTCACACCCTGCTGCTTCGAAAGACCAGAGGCTGGAATGCCCACGGCACTGACTCCCAAGGGTGGGACTTCCAGCACCTCCGTCACGCCTTTTCCTTTCCCTTTCCATCCTTTGCCTTTGCCCTTGCCTTTGTAAACCACCACCGGAGTAGCTGCCACCGGCGTTCCCATCACTGGAGCCACGGCCACCGGTGCCGGTGTCACGACCACCTCTCGAACCACTGGAGCTGGGCGACGTGGGGCGGCCACCGCGCTGGCGACGGCGGCACCGGCCAAGGCTGCACCACCCAGCACTGCGACCTCTGCCACAGCCCTCTCAACGGGATGGTGGTGGTGATGATAACCTTTTCCCTTGCCCCAGCCACCCCAACCCATGGCTGCAACGGCGCAAGTGGTCAGATGGCAAAGCGCAAATTGACAGGCTTGATCGGCAAAATTCATTATATTAAAGTCCGCATTAAAGCTCTCCAAGCTCTCAGGCAAGTGGGCGTCAAAAGTGACTTCGATCATGCCTGGGCCTAGCCGGAGTTTTTTCAAGAAAAGTATCTCACAACAAACGGTGACACAATGGCACAATGGCACAATCACGTGCCTGCTGCTGCTGGCGGCCACACAGTAGCCAACATTGTCCAAAAACCTGTCAGCTGCCCACGATGCAGACAGAATAGAAAATAGCGAAGATGTTCCAACCCATGTCTCAGACCAACTCAAATCAAGAAAAGGATGTTCATCCATGAACTCTGCCAATTTGGTGCTGGAACATCCCTGTATCCCCAAGTTTGAGACCGAACTCACTCAGAAAAGGTTCGCACTGCTGCTGGAAGTGAACATCAAAGCTGAAACAGCAGACTACTTTCCGGCAGACTGTGACTGTGACCAAGATTTACGCAGAAAGGGTCGTTCGGAGGCACCGCACAGAACCGCATGGAAGTAATTATAGAGCCCTGACATTACATTCAGACATATTCATTCATGTTTGTGTATGTATATATATATATATACATATACACACATAATACATTACATCCAAACAACTCAAAACACCCGCCCATTCTTCGCGCCAACCCTGCGAGAACGGGACTTTGTTCGTTCAACAGACCGGTCCGCCACCGGCCCCACGACTCGGCGCCCCGGCGTGTCCACCACTCGCAAACCTGTGGGGTTTCCACATGAGACGGAGCACCGAGACGGAAACAAGTCTTGAACAGAACACGTTCCATGGCTTTCCTACAAATGAAAAAGCTGCTGCGAGAACTGAATAAACGAATACGACTACAGCATGTCAAGAATAACACGACAGCATTTGGACTTGCCTGAAGAGAAACAAGGCTGCTGCATCAGAGTCCGAAAAATTGACGCAAAAAGCAGTCCAAAAGAGTGACTCCTTGACCGCTGCAGTTGACTCATGAATGACTCACTTCTCCCATGTCGAACAGATTCTGCAAGTGTTGAACAAAAAGCTTGAAATCTGGTTGCAATGTCAAAGGGCCTGTTTCACCTTCTGGTAGCTCGGCCTGAGGATCAACAGAGATGGAGTACCGCCGGCTTGTCACCATTCACCAAGTCTTCAAATGCGGGGGGGGGCCAAATGCCACAAGAACATAAACCCAGAACTTGCAGCTTCAAGAAAATGATGTGGGGATGGGATGATGGGATGGGTCAAAATCTGAAATCCCCAGTTGGGGTAGCGAAAGACTCGCTCGATCGCCTCGCTGGAACAGGAGGCCGAAGCGACGTCGTAGGTCCACGCGGAGGCCGCCTGGGGTGGGGCGGTGGTCCACGGAGGTGCCTGGTGGTGGTCCAAAACCAAAGCCAAGGAAGCCCTCTTAGACAATCAAAGGCCGAAGCAAATTAAAACACTGGCTTTGACACCTTCGCACATGACTGCTACTTCTTGCATGTCTCAAATATATCTTATTTGTTGCTGATGGCTTCTCGGTGTCCATTCCACCCACCACCTCCCGAGGTCTCGCGGATCGGGGAGCGGCCTCGCCTCACCAAAGAAGGCATCCACTGCCTCATGGGGCGTGCGTTGGAACTTCTTGTCCTTCTTCAGATCATCCACCTGGCCGAGCCAGGAACTGGGCCGAGCCCGAGAAGACGCACACGGAGGATGGAGAGGATGCGGCTGCCGCATGAGTCTTTGGAGTCTCAACCGCCCCAAAAGACCGGGTTCCAGTGCCTGCAGATGTGGTGAAGAGTGAGAATGGTATCAATAGATATAAACAGTAAATACATAAATATTTGTAGCATACACGAGCCTTGCAGGTCTTTTGGACTGGAAAGCTGGAGGACGCAATCCTCTTCTTGCGTCTTACAGATTGATATATATATATATAACTATGTATATATATAAGGATGTATTTATATATTTGTATGTGTATGTAATGTAAAATATATAGTCTAGTCCCTTTGCGTCTCTGACAGTCGACTTGCAATGAAGCACAGCAACTTTGAGTGGCTCAACCTGATGTTTGCAGGTGTTTCCCAACCCCAAATGGTCTGCTTTCACTGCGCCATGTCCACACTTGGGGAATCATTGCACTCAAGCGAGCGCCGCAAGAATGCACACTGTACAGGAGCGCACTATACAGGGCTTGGGTATCCCAGGTCGAATAAAACTGCAAGGGTTTGGCAGAAAAAGTCTCAGCCTCAAAGCACACATACCGAGCATGGCAGAACATGTCTCACATGTGTCGAAAATGAGTCTTGGCGCAATCTGACAAACCTTGGATTGGGGGCCGTGGCCGCAGACTTTACAGGTTCAGATCCATTTCATGGAACATGAGGAGATCCAGCAATTAGAGACCGCACACCCGTCATATAGTTCGATGGATTCTACATGCATGAATTTGAAGAAATTGCACTGCTGCACACTCTTGTTATCCTTTGCAAAGTATTGCAAAGTGGATTTCTGGACCTCTAAGGCCTGTAATCCAGCTTGCCTCTCTCGCAGCCTCAGTCTTCCCTTGAGGTGCTGGTCAGACGAACAAGGCAAACAGAGCGTGGCTGGCCGGTCAATTCTGCTGGAGCGCATCTGCATTGGCTTCAATCTGCCATGACAAGAATCAGGTCATGCAAGGCTGAGAATGTGCACATCAGACTCTGGGAGTATCTAGCAGAAGAGATCTTGACTAGAAAGAAAAAATCGCAGCATCAGCATCAACAGGTCACTGTGAGTCTCACCATGGCAGGAGTACCGTTCCGCCCATGACAAAGCGGTGGAGGACCACTTTTGAGGCGATTCCCAGCTGGTTAGCTTTGGCAAAGTCAACAATCTTCCGCTCAAGCAGGGTCCCTGTCAGGGTCCCGAGCGGACGAGCGAACGGCTTAGCGAACGGCTTACGAGAAGACAGAAGACTGAGAGGAAAAACCGGCCTTTCACAGGAGTCATGTAAAAGGCATTGGTGAAGAAGACATGGCGAGTGGTGCAGTGTCCATCTAAAGCTTGGTGAAGAGGGGCATGATTCTTCTGCTTCTCTTTCCTGTCTTTCTGCTTCTCTCCATAGAGAAAGTCCGGCGTCAGCAGCAGGATGGGTTTCTTGGTCTCGGCTGAGACAGTCGCCTTGCGCCCAGAGATGAAGTACTCCAGGCCATGAGTGCTCAAGGCATCTTCAAACTTGCGAAGGGTCGAAGACCATTGGGAGAAGACTAGGCATTGAACTTTGGGATTGCTGGACAAGACCTCCCGAATTTGCTGCACCATGCCCTCAAGTTTGGAGCCGTGAAGACGCTCAGGCTCCTAGGTTCAAGGAATCGTTTCCAGGCCCGCAAAACGCAAAAAGTGCTCATGTTCACCCTTCTTGGGGTCACGTGTCTTTCACTGTTGGAGTCTCCCTTGTACATGTTCCGTTTTACCTCGCATTCACACCCCCCACAGCAATGTTCATGTCCCTGGCGTTGAACGCCCGAGCAAAACACATGGTGCAGCCCGCGAGTCGCGGCGCGCCTATGGGAAGGATGACATGTTTCAGTGGATGCTTTGAACCCCGTCCTTGGATTTGGTGAGCTTCTCCAAGCTCACAGCTTTCACAGCCTCGCCACACTCACAGGTCTCATGTCCACAAGCCACGCGGCCACAAAGACCACAGAGTCGTGTGGCCTTCACCAGGAAAAGCACTGATCTGAAGACAATTGAACAAAATCTGACACATCTGTAACAGATCTGGGACACATCTGTCACACATCTGCGACACAGGCAATGACTGACACCTGTGGGGGTTCCACCTGTCTCCGCCACTTCGTTTCTCCCATCGCCCTCTGTCGCCTGGGCGCCACAGTGGCACAGAAGGTGTGGGGAACAGCCTTCGGGCAAAGGAAGCCCAGCAGCCTCTCGATGTGATGTGACAGGCCTTTCTGAAAATCTGACACACCTGTGACATCTGCAACAATCCAATCATGGAACCAAAAACTAAACCAAGCCAAGTTTGACGGGAGCACCACGATCTGCGTGACTTGGACCTTTGATCTGGACTTGGACCCAACGTTGGTCGACCTAACTTCTGTCGGCATGTCGACCCATCGTGGCGATGGGCTCGACATGTGTTAGCTTCGTTGTTTCAACTTTTGAGGGCTCGACATCTAGAACACTAGATAATATCAAAATTGATCTCAAGGCCTAGATGTAAAACTTGTGGTCAGGAGCCGTTGTATTTATCAGCGTCCAAAGCAACAACACTATATCAGTCTTTGATTAAGGTCTGGCTTTGCTGTTAGTCCTGCTGATCCTGTAAGCATCACTGCCTTGCTGTCGCAAGGTCAACATCCAAAAGGTTCCGTCTAGCTCTTAATCCTACTATCACGCCTGTTGATATTGATGCATATAGAACTTTTCTCAAGACTGTTCAATTGACTTTCCAAATCTGAAATTCTTTCTTCAAAAGTCCCGACTCCTTATATAAATGTTTACATCTACGGTGCGGCCTTGGGCCAACCCGCGTCAGCACAGTGACTGAGTCTCATCTACAGGTCTATTGTCTAGAGATAGAGTCCGGGCAGAACCGGCTGCTTTACAGCAAATGAACAACAAAAGTCTTCCAAGAACTAATTTGCAGCGTTTCATTCCATGTGAGCGTTCTGATTCTATTTCTGCTTTTTTGGTGACGTGCCTCCAATAGCACTTGCAGCAGCCGCCAGCGTCTCGAAGCTCTCTGCTGCGCCTTCTCAGCACGCTGCTGTGCGGAGCGCAAACTCTGCAAGACCTCCCTGGGGCGGGTAAGCCGATCGCAGGCCTTGCAAGGTTTCGCAAGACACGACCATTCCGACCATCTTCATATGCCATGGTCAAAACTCCTTTTCTTCTATTTGCCGGGGGGGGGTCATCCTGTATCAGGATCCTTTTTGAGGGTATGCAATCGTCGAAAGTCCCATCCTCTTTATTGGTTTCAACCATGGGTCACAACTACTAGGAGCAAGGACGCTACGAACGGGGCTCCTGGCATCGCTACGAACGGAGCAAGGACGCTACTAGGAGCAAAGGGCATCGCTACTAGTTTCAACCATGGGTCACAACACCTAACCCTATCCTCATTGCCTCACCCTATCGTTTCTTATCAGCATGGCACGGGTATCCAATCACCCATCTACAGGGTCCAATCACCCGCCTGGCACGCGCCCACACGATGCATGGATGGTCGGCCAAGGGTAGGAGCACTGGGTGCACCGGGCTCCAAGGTGGCCTGTGCTAAGTGGCGCAATTGGAGTTCCAACGCCTCCAAGCCTGGCCCGCGGCGTTTTTGGGTGTCCTTCCAACCCACATGCACCTGGTGGAACACCTTCGAAAGGATGGTGACAGCAAAACCCCGAAACAATCATGTTCAGGCACTTGGCACAAATTTGCGGGGATCAGCCGCTGGGACTTGGTCCAAAAGTTAACATATATAATATGTCTGTATGTACTTATAAGTTATACGTTATACTGTATGTGTATATATATATATATACATATCATATATATATATATATATGTATATGTTTTCTGTCTATGTGTGTTCTTGTCTGGAAAGCTCTTTGTTGGTGCTTGCCTTGGAGATTCGAAGAAAAGGACTGTAGCTGCTCTGTGCCGCTATGGGCCGCGGCCAATAGGACCTCCCTTTCATAGCCACAGCTCGTCGTCGCAGCGGCTAAGCTCTGAAAGACCTGAAGCCTTCGAAGCTCCACTGGTCGAACGGGGAGAAAGGCAGAAAGGCGGTCCAAAGGCTCGGGGGGACAAATGTCGGTTCTCTCGATCCCGGCGAGTTCGCTGTGAAATCGGATGAAATTGTAGAAGGTCGCATACCATGTCTCACAAGTCCAAATTCCTGATGAGAACCATGCCAGAAAAAAGGAAAGTAAGAAGGAAGATTGATTCAAGACTATCGGAAAAAGGGATGACACCAGCCTCAGCTCAAAGTCTTTATACTCCTCCTCTGCCAGAGTGGCATCTGCGCTCTTTAAGCGCTGCTGAGACCACGTCTCCTTGCAAGCATCCACTCTTCTCTCACAGAGTATGTGCATATCTCATACCAAAAATTGCGACTCCGTTGTTCTCTCTGAACGTTGACATTGGGAGGACCGACCGTGTTTGTGCGGGAAGGGGGAATCCCCATGTGCTCAAAAGAGAGTCGTGGGGCATTTCCACCGCAAGTTTAAGATACCCTCCGACCTAAACGCCCAAGCCAGCATCTAGCCAACGGAGTTATCTTGACAGCTTGAAGACCATCCTTGACGAGCTCTTCCAAATTGACAGGCTCACAACACATCTGCAGCAGGGAGCGTACCTCCAAACGAAGTCATCAAGTAATGGCCAACCGAGTTATCAATCAAGTTACGGTTAGCTCAAAGATGCTCAAGGGTGTTGACCGCTCTCCATGGGAGTTTCATCTACCTCTTCTGGCTCGGAAACGTGGCTCGGAAACGTGGAAACGACACTTTTGTCCAATTCCATGATGGAAGAACCAAAACTCTCTTCTGTTCTTGTCAATGTCTCCTTTTTTCGTTAAGCGCACATGCTCTGAGCGCTGTCTAGGCGTCTTCAACTCGTCAGAGCGCCTGAGTTCTGTTTCTGCTGCAGAGGCGGGATGTACTGGGATGTCTCAACAGCCATTGAATGGATCAACAGCCATAGATCCATGAAAGATTCGAATTCAGTACAGGCCTGGCCCAGATTCTCCATGACATGCCAAGTACAGTAACTGCGGCGTTTCCTACCTCCACGTTGGCTGCGTCTGGCCAGCTGAACCGTGCCCCAGGCTGGAGGACTGAAAATAAGGCCAAGCCAGAAGTGAAAACCCGGTGTGGAAACTGGATGAGTTCCCTGTACTTTCCAATATTCTATTGGATGAGTTCAATGCAGTGGCGTTGAGATGCGAGGAACACGTTGAAGATTCTCAAACATGTGCCGTCGCTTTTTCCTCCCAAGGCAAACCTGAAAGTAGAAAGGAGGCCCCCAGCAGCCCGCAGTCCGCGTTTTTTCGGACGAGGCACTCAAGGGATCGGAAGAGGTACGCCACATGTTCTTTGAGGGAGAAATCCAGCAGGTGCACTTCCTCCTCCACACCTCACAGGGTCACTGAGTCACTTGTTGGTCATCGGGTCATCCTGTATCATCCTGTTCGCCTGATCTACGGTCATCCTGTTCGCCTGTAGGAGTCTGTAGGAAGCAAACACCAAAGGAGTTATCTTTGGGGTAGCCATCGAAAGGAGGGTGAAACCGCTTCAAAGATCCTATCACTGTGGGTTCCAAAGCTCAATGGATGTCACATTCTGAGTTTGGACAAGACGTTCCACTCTGGGATGCGTGCCACTCGGCTAAGCGCCCAGCGCCTGACAGGAATTTTGGGCATCAACTGTCCGAAGACACCAGGCGTCACTCTTGGGTGTCACTCTTGCACCCCACAGGCCATATGCATTGCCTACAGCATCTACAGCCCACATGTTTCCACGCTCACGTTCCCCATCGGCTTGCCCAAGATCATTGAAGCCCACCTTTCGGCTTCATGTTGATCTAGGTTCCGTGGGGACTGCACTTGGCAGAAGCAGTAGCCTAAGGCATGTGACCACAGCCAGGTGTTGGCGTAGATCACATATGGATTCAATTCGGCTACCGCTGCTCCAGATGGCAAGAAGATTAAATTATCCATGGCTGTCCCTGCAAAGCCCACCAGACTGCAGGTCCCATGGATTTTCTGCGCGAGCTCGACCAGTGGCACACTTTGCGCATCCCGCACCACCTCAAAGCCCAACTCCGTCTCGAGCAGCTCCGCTCCCACCACCGGCCGAGAGTTCCGGGTCCGTTGTCGCCCCAAGAAGAGTCCCGGAGCGCCCAAGCTGCAGCCGCAGGCCTTGCCACCGGCGGCACTCGAGCTGGTCACCGGGGCGACGGTCCCGCCGCCGCAGCGGAGGTTCCCGCGGGCCTGGCGGAGGTGGGGCGCCGCCCAAACGGCACGTTGGAAGGCCTGGCGATGGCCACGGCTCCAAGGCGACACACCGCTGAGACCCAGGGTGCGGTGGGGCCAAATGGGCACCCGTTGTCGAAGCTCGATGCCAAGCAGTTCACAAAGGAGTCGGGTGTTTTCACTCAGGGAACGCTTCCCAAGTGGTGGAAGAACCAAGGTGAGACGATGGCCACTGTGGACCAGCGCAGGCATCACTGCAAAGACTCGTGGGAAGATGTTGTCGATTGCATGGCCATAGTACCCACTCTCGCGAAAGTTCATGTATGCCACCACATGCTTGGCCGCCATGTTCTCACGAGTCTCATTCAGGGAGCATTTCATCTGCAAAAAGGCTGCCTTTTCTTTAAGAAAGTCTCCGAAGGGTATGTCCATTTTGTGGATGTGATTTGAATTGCAAGGAGATAGAAACACAACGTTGTCATGCCCCAAATACTGAGCATGTGTGTTGTTGAGCGCTTCATACTTGTCCTTATACGGAATCTCTTGCCCTGGTAACAACTCCGTGTTGGACAGCGACCAGGACGGAGTTGGAAACTTGATGATTTGTGTGGTGTTCTGTGCTAGTGCTGAGGAAACCAAGTCAACCACAGTAGGCTGCACAGGTTCCTGACGGATGGAAAGAGGAGCTGCAGACGTTGGAGGTGCCACCTGCGGCATTTCTTCAACGCGAGCATCACGCCTTCCGCGAAGGTGGAGCACCTTCGTTGTGGTAAGCGGTACTGGTGGTAGGTCATGCTGATGATATGGAGATAGAGATGGAGATTCAAAAGCATCCAAATTGTGAAACAGCAGCACTACATTCAAACCCACCAACAGCAAGCCGATCACAAGCTTCCAGCAATGTCCTTTGCAAATTGGCCAGGCGTAGCTGAGAAACAGTGAGTGGCTCGTCTTCGAGTCTTCCTCCAGATTGACATCTCTCACCTTCTTATTTCGCTTACTTCGACTTGGCCGAACGTTACTTCGTTCAGCTTTGGGCATGGCGTCTTGAAGACATCGTGACAACGGCGACGACGGTCTCCATATTTTGCAACCATGGGCTTGCTGGGTAGCTCTATGTTTGACCAAAAAGGAAGGGACTTGCACTTGTTAGACCTTGTTAGTCAGAAAGCTCCCAAATCTTGGTTCCACACTTGTTTGCCTCAAGAGAAAACCATCATTTGATGGTCCAAACTTCGGTACTCTGCAGTCTGTGACTTGGACACCCCACACAGTGCAGTCTTGTGACTTGGACAAAGGCGACTGCACTTGTGGGTCGTCAGTGACCTCAAGAGTGGATCTGTTCACCCCAAACGCTGCACCTCAAGACCTCAAGAGCTGGACAAATCCAACCCCCTCAAGAGCTTCCTTTCACTCCACAGTGCAGAGCAGCTTCGGACGTCCGACACCGCCGACACCGGACGGCCGTGTTTGGCACCAAACAGACCATCCTCCCGGCCTCGGGGGAGCGGGAGGTGCCAAGACCATCCTGCCGACACATCTGATTCCGCGCTGAAAGTGACAGAGTTACGCATGACACAAGCCATACAATGCCAGCCTGTCCAGAAACGAGCGAAAGAATTGACATTACATGGCTAGAATCTAGAAAAGTCTACATCGAAAAGCACTACAGTAAAAATAGGCAAGATCCTGCTCTTTTGATCCGCAAAGCAGCACTTTCTCCTTTCTCCGTACCAATCTATCTCTATGACAACTGCTCGCTTCTCAGAATAGACCCTTGACTTCGGCTGGCTGCTTCTTCAATCACCTTGCACCGCTGCAGGCTGCGCACATCGACGTTCCATGACCATTGTCACCGTTTCTTCTAGGAAAACAGTGCGAGTCGAGGTTCAACTTGCAGTATTTGACCCAGTGGTACCCAGTGAGGAGCCCTCAGGCCGAATCCAAAAAGCCTTGCCACAACGGAGCGGTCTTCCGGACGCCTAAAGCAGAGCTCGTGCAGCTTTCGCCAGCTTGTCCTGGTCGTCCGAGGTCTGGTCGGTGCAAACACGGCGAAAACAGGGTGTACACGGCAAAGGCCAAGAATCTTGGAACGAAGACCAGGTTCCTTTCTAAATGATTGTTCTATGAGCGGTAAAGCAAGAACACAAGTTGCCAGAGTGGAAAACGAAGCAACAAGAATGAGACCCAAAAGTCTTTTGCGACTGGTCCTTCTGCTGTCGCAACATCTGACGTACTGCTGGTCGAATGCGAGCAAAGGAGAGGTTGTTGTAGAAGAAGCCTGGCCAAGTTCCCAGCCCCACTTGGTGAGCCTAAAATACTGATGGACTCGGACTAACAGCAAAGACAAAACGAGGATTTCTTGCCCAATAGATCTCTATATATTGCGTCTTTCATTCGGGCTTTTGCATTGGGGAGGCCTTGTTGAGATAGGGAGGCACGCAAAATTGACCTTTTTCAACGCCTATGTTAATGACTGGTACATAGTGAATAAAACATGTCATGTGTGTATCCAGTCGATTCTTGCCAGTCTGCTTCCAGCAGAAGTAACACCTAAGTCTGGAGATCCCCCTACAACAAGATCTGAAAAAAGGACTTTTACTTCTGAAACGCCAAGTCGCTGATGAAAATGAAGGAGATGGCGCATTGAGCCAGCCCGTAGGTGACCTGGACCAGGCCGCCCGGGGTGTGCCCGGCTCCGACCCGACGACGGCGGTCGTCGAGCGTCATCGCTCCTCGAAGAGCCAGATGGAATAGAAGGACATCCAAATTGGAGCTCCGGCGATGAAGAAGACAGCCTAGCAAGTCAGCTGCAGGTTCGGGCTTTCATCTAAGGATATCTAAGGATGAGGATCAAGGTTGTCCAGATCAGAAGCAAGTTCGTCCACAAGTAAGAAAACATGGTTGCCTTCCTATGTTGAAACGAACTGGCTCACCTGTTGCAGTCTCCCTCAAATATGTCCTTGGCCTTGATAATTTGTCCAAAGATGAAGAGGATGAGCAATGGACGGAATGCCTGTCAGAGCTGGAAAGTAAGCATGTAAAGTACCGAAGCCTCATTCGGAACCTGCGGGTTCGGGTGTAAGCCACATGAGCGACGTCTTACATCATCTGTTCAAAAGAGCCCCCATCTTTCCAAGGGTGAAAAATTGCGCTCAAGTGGCTTTGATAGAAGGAGATGTTCTGAGAGTTTCTGACTTCGTGCAGGTCATCCTCTCCTCTGCGCCGTTGTCTGGACAAGCAGATGGCCACATGGCAGCCACGGTTCAGAACTGCCTGGAAGAGGCAGCGCATCACACCGATGAAGATCGACTGGTAGTGAAGGACCACAAAGGAGATGCCAATCTGGGACAGGACGAGTCTGCGAGGAATCTATGTGTGTGTGTGTGTTGGATGGTTGGAAATCTTGACCATGGTTCACAGCAAATCACCTAGACAAAACAGTTCATAAGAGATTTTCACAGCACATGGGTTACATAAAACCCACTCTCATTGCAACATATGTCCTCAAAAGTAATGTGGGGATGTCTTCATTCAACTGATGCAACCTGCTGACAATCTCCACAAACAGAAACTGTTTTCCGTGCATGCTGCGACACGCCGCAACTTCATGTCATTTTGGTGAAACTTGCTGTGCAGTGGTACTCCTTGCATCTGCACGAATTCCGTGGCAGTTGCATGCTTAGAAGACCACTGCCATAATTAAGCACGCTCAAACGCACTGGTGCAGCAGACCTGGATTTGAGCCCAATTCCTCCGCACCAATCAAACGAGGCTGGTCAATTTCGGGACATCTGCCGGTGAAAAAGTACAAGCATAAGCGAACGGCATTCAAGTTAGGCCGGTTCATCGCGATACCTCACCCAACAAGCCTCCACCTAGTAGCCTGCTCAAGGAAGCCATATCACTGGGCATGCTTGATTTCGTGCGGCTCAAGCCGCCCGAGCCCGTCCCTGTCTTGGCACTTGGCTTTTCAACAATCTGATGTTTGTTTGCACTTGGCCGGCTCAACTGAGCCTGCAAGCGTGCTTTTCGGTCAAAAACGGTCACAGAGGGCTCCACCGTTGCCTTTGGCCCTGCTGCTGCATCACCTGATGACAAGGTCTGCAATTCCTGACCGAGGGAAGCGCCCAAGTCTACACAACTCTTGGATTTGGAGGCCTCCTCTCGCTTGCGCCGACCCCTCCTCTCCAAGGCCGCCAGGTGCTCCTTCAGTTCCACGAAGTCTCGCTGACTTCGCTCCAACGCCACTTCCAGGTCCACGGAACGCTTCTGCTCGGCTTGCGCCGCTTCCTCCGAGGCCAACAACTCCTCACGCAGAAGCTCCAACTCGGCCTCTGCAGCCTGGAGCCTCTTGCAAAGAGCCTCTCGGCTGTCAAGGGCATCGGCAACTCCACCGGCTCCACTACTTGTGGCTCCAGCTGCACGTGGGGTGGCACTACGTGGGGTCGTGCTTTGCTGCTTTTCAACTTCAAGACGTCTTCGGAGCTTCTCCTCTGTCTTCAAACGTTGCTGTTGCTCGCGCAAGTCTGCATCTTGGAAGTCAATGCGATGACGAGCCTCTTCCAACTCTTGATCCAGTCTCTTGATGGCCTCCCGCCCTTGAATCAGACGCTTCTGTTGCTCTTCCACTTGAGCGAGCGCCGCAGCCTCTGCGGCCTCTGCAGCAAGTCTCGCTGTCTCAGCATGATCAGCACGGTCACCTTCAAGCTTAGCCTGCTCTACCGCCCTGTCAATCTGCTGCTGCATGCTTTGTTTTTGCTGATGCCAGCCTTGCATCATCTCCCACATCCTTCTCACCAGTTGTGCCAAGTGCAGGGCATCCAAGGCCTCTTCTTCGCGCAAGGCCTCTTCGGCTGCCACGGACAAGCGAAACCACTCATCATCGCTGTCCTCTCCATCCACCATCTGTTGTGCCTCTGCAGCAAAGCTAATGGTGTGCCGCTTGGGCAAGCGTCGGCGTGGTGGGGACGCAAAGCGGCCCAGACTCACGGGAGAGACATCGGCCTTCCGCAGCGGAAGATCCTCTTGATCCTCGTGAAGGTCCTCGTTGGGCTCGGTGCAGAAGAGTTCTTCCAAGGTCGCCACGTGCCATGGCCCACAACCAAGCTGGGCTTCCAGTGTTGCTGCCACTGACTCATCAAAGCCTGGCACGTTTTGCAATGCCTCCTCCCCCACGCAGCCTTGATCATCCGCCAAGCCACGCAAAGCCTCCCTGAGCATGGACACCTGTGAATCATCCATCGTATCCATGGCCATGGCCACACACAGCCCTCAACGAGCTCCAAATGATTCAAGTACCAATGCTTCTGCATGTTGTCAGTGAGTATTTACACTTTACACCCTCAGCTCATCTAGAGTGTGAAAGATCGATCCGTTCTGTGTCATACGCCTAGTTATTCCTAGTTGATGTTCCATGGCATGCGCCTTGTGAGGCTCTTGCGGCAGCTGCTCAAAGAAAAGAACACCACAGGTCCATGTCAATGTACAATTCAATGGGTTGTGTCCTCTTTACGGTGCTTCTTCACATCATTTGACAATGATGCATCTCTTGCATGACACTGGTCTGGCAGCCGCTGGCATGTCATCCAAGTTGTCCGAACCTCAAAAACCATCGAGTCTCTCTTGCAGGCATCCACCACTCCTACGCACTCGAGTCAGCAACAACTGCTGCAACTGCAGACTCTGTGCCACTCACCACCACAGAAATTAAACTCACAAACATCAATTCGCAGTGTTGGAATCCAGATTTGGTCAGCGCTACGCCATCTTACACTGTAAATTGCACAAAACACACCAAATCTGCGGTACTCGGGTAAAATCTTGTGCTCCACAGATCTCCTTCTTGTGGCACCATGATCTTGGCTTCCTGGATTGCCTCTCATGTGAACTGGTGAGTGGCACAAGTGTTGTCCACCACAGATCAAAGACCGCCTTGCTCGGCTCCACCGCAACCGGCTTCGGCATAGGAATCCTCGGGCTCCGCAGGCTCCAAGTCCAAGGCGCCATGTTCCATTTCCATGCTTTATTTGTGTCAACACTTGGAAAGAACCTTAGAATCGCCTTTCCTTCGCCTAAGGGACCGGCTGTGGTGTCACATACCGCATGTAGTTTGTGCCGAGCACACTGAAGGGCCTGTACTGATCGATACTGAGGGACCGAAGAAAAAGCACAATCCCTGTCAATTCTGCCACGTTGGCAAAAATCGGTTTGATCCCTGTGAATCGCTCGCCTCATCACACTTGGGTTGAAGGTCTTGGGCATTGCCTCGAAGGCCAGAGGCGTCCGGATCGCCTCACCGGAAACAGCCGTGCAACATGTGACGTGAAGTTCAGCCGCGTGGTGCGGCACCACGGGCGTCCGTGGAGACCCCGGGGTGAAAGCAACGAGTAGCTTCTTGTTCCTAGTAGTAAGGCCAGGAGCTACTAGTAGCGTCCTTGCTCCTAGTAGCGATGCCCTTTCTTACTAGTGGCTTCTTGTTACTTGCGATGGCCTCCACCTAACAGCGTCCTTGATATGATGCGAATTCATGTGATATCGAGTGATGTAGTGGTCTCTCGCCAGGTCGTTGTGTGACGATGTCGTATGGAAAGAGCAAGTTCAGCTGTACTCCGACTGTGGCCACCTCCATTGGTGCGAGGCAACATGGCGTGAGCGTGAGCCGTCCAGTGCCGTCTGCCGTCCAGCCTGTTTGGCCAAAGAGCCCGCAGTGCGGCGCCTGTGGAAACCATTCTGAGACGCACATTTGTACCTCTCAATTGGTCCAAGTAACCCGGTTGATGCTTTTGGACGCCGTGATTCTCCCGAGAAAGAAAGGGCCCCAGAAAGCCGAGCTTCGAAAAAGTCTGGGGCCCAAACACGCCCTGGCCGAGGCAGCGTGATAGACCGCTGAACCTCAGCAGTTTGAACCACTGGTTTCTGTGGCTCAAGAGTAAGGCCAGTCAATAGCCACAGGTCTTTGTCCAGTGTTTTTCCTTTACCCAATGGGTTTGGATCTTGGGACAGGCATCTGCCCTCGTTCTTGCAATGAGTCCCAGGTCGGTCACTTTGGACAACGAATACGCGGCGGTGGTGGAGCACTGCTGAACGTCCTCACCATCTACAAAGGACAAAGAGGACTGACAACAACCTACCATCAAATCTTTCTTGCCCCTTTCATTGTGACCGCCACTACCACCACCATCAAAAACTGCAGAACGACGACAACACCCAGCTGGCATCTCTGAATAAGCAAGCTGCTCTGAGGCTCCCACATTCTGGCAAGTGTGAGCGGCTCTCTTTTCGAACCGGGGCTACTAGGCCCTTTGACCCAAAACAGCTTCTGGCGGAGCCCATGTCACCCATGTCAGGAAGAAACAAAACTTCGCAGAGATACTCGCATTTAGGCATTATTGACTCAGAATCTGAAGCTGAATCCAGCCTCAATGCCATGACCAACAGACCTTCATGACCCGTCCTCCCCATCGAGGTCGGTCGCCCAAGCATCCAAGAAGCGCTGGGCCTGCGACGGCAGTCGACGTCGCTCTCCGTTCCTACACGGGTAGACCGACACAATCATAGAGAGTTGAACTTCAATTGTATTAGACTGCGCAAACCTTGCGCAGATCTTCCTGTGGCTTGGAGGTTGAACGCTCGCTGGGCAGTTCTTTTGTTGACTGGGAGATCAACCACCCAAAGACTCAACTTGAACAAGAGTGCCCAAACAAACTCTGCTTTGGCCTCCACGGCATCTCCCCAAGGAATCTGAATTCCAAGTAACGATGCCATCCTTAGTTCGTCGCTTCACTTGTGCATTCATCTCCACATGGCTGCTTCAGTCCGTCTGCTCCTAGAGACACCAAGGCTTCGGCGGAGCCATGTCCACTTGACGCGCTTTCAAGCACCTCGTGGCGGCAAAGGAACGCCAAGGAGTCGGTTTCGACAAGCACAAGCTGCCAAAGCGGAATAGCTTGGAAAAGCACATAGATATACTTCAAGAACCCTAAAGTTTACGCTTCTTACTCTGTTCCAACATGACATTTGCGGTCTACAGCGGATCGGATTAACACGTCCATTTTGCGTGGCAGGTACAGCACGGTCAGATTTCCACACCCGTTTAAATTTATAGTACTTATAAGGCTTTCAGGTATGGAAATCTGACCGCAACTTAGGTGTCGACATGTTGCACGTAGGATTCTAAGGGGAAAGGGTTTGTGATGTTTTAGAAGTCAAGAAGCGCTTTTGGCACCCCAGTGTATACATGTACAGAACTCCGCGATGCTCTGCTTCAATTGCTTGGATGGCAAAGCAATGACTGTTCTCAGTTGCTGCTTCGCCAGAGCCTTTCCTTGAAATGGGTGTTCAACACGCCAAAAGTGAGACCAACTGTCATTCCGAGTAAGTTGCTTGGTTTGCCGGCCAGCGTCACACAAGACGAGGCGAGTTCGGTGGAGCTTGGGATCGGTTTTTCATGTGGAACTGGAAAGATGTGATTCTCCGGAAGGCCCTTGGCCATTTTATGGCTGAGGCTGTTCATGCCGAGATTAACATGATGAAGAGATTACGTTGGAGGTTGGTATTCCGTTTGCTGTTCCTTGTGTTTTGATTGGATGGCCTTTTGACTTTGCTGTTGATACTTGTTCTAGGATGCTCTAGGCTGAGTCGGGACTGAGTGGTCATCCCACCAGCTTCCCTCCGCCTTTGGGCAACATCCTTGCCCCTGGAGTGGAGTAATGGCATGAGTTTCTCAGCACCACCTCTTGCTCAGTTGAGGCACTCCAAGTCTGCCAGGCCCCACCGAGACTGCGCCCGGATCGCATGAACGGCATAGAGTGGTGCCACCTGCCACGACCGAGACAGAAATAAGGAGAGGGAGCTGGTCGCCCAATTCTACAGCTGGAGGGGTCTGTTCTTTGCGACCGCATCTTGGCTCTGGGCAACTGGGCCAACTACTACCCTCTCAGACTGGTTTTTGTCCAGGCGGGGTAGGCCGTGAGGTGAGGCTTACAAGCAAGCTACGTAAGCTACTGTGAGTAAGGAGGTAAGCTACTAAGCTGAGTCGCTGAGTCCCTCCCACGTGTCCCAACCATGAAACCCTAGAGCTTCAGCTTCACCATGAGTTGGTTTCCTAGATGTTGAGGAAAACTTCGCTTTCTTCCGACCTTGGTCAAGTAGAGCGCCAGGCTGTTCGGCGCTCCGCCCGAGATGATCTGCTCCAGATCCCTCAGGTGCAAAGAGCGGGGTTCGATTCAAGAACTGGGTCGAACCAGCAAATGGAAGCTTGAACGAATTGCGAGGAAGTGTGAAGCTATGTGTGCTGGGAGGAAGTGTGACAGCTGATGGATGTTCAAGCCACCAATGACCAGAAAGGAGAGCTGCTAAGGTTGCCAGGCCTGGCCAAGAGCTGGCAATCATCCAGTACCAAGCGGTTGAAGTGGAACATTTCCAGCACAGCTCCGCCTTGGCGGCCAGAGGGGATGCTTCTTGTCTGAAAACAAAAGGTTGACTGGCCAGATAATGGGAGAGGATTGGAAAAAAGTAAAACTACATGGGCCCTGAGATGTGAATACAATGAGACACTGACTGGAAGTCACTTGAGGCTCGTCTACATGACTTGGTCCTTGTCCCCTGCTTCTAAGGAAGTGGCTGTTGGCCAAGGCCATCGGCCAAGGTTCACTGCTTTTCGCCGCCTCGGTTCGGGTCAGACCTCCGGGTGCTTCATGAAAAACAGCTGCCCCAGCACAGTTGCAGGCTCACCATCTAATCCTTGCATGTCTTCCTTACATCTAATCCTGGTTCAATAAACGCCTCCCACCGAGCCACCACTTTGGGGGGGTGCAGTACACTTTCGAACACCCGGGAGACACGCTTACCTCCGGAAGCTCACCATCCATTACTGACCCGCGGCCGGACACCGTGGAACGGGCCTGGCGCATGAGCCTTAGAGTCTGACGCTCCAGGTCCACCTGTGGATGCCGAGTCTTCCGAAAATGCGCATCGAAGGTTGGTGCATCTGTTAGACTTCACAGTCAAATCCGACAGTGGAGACCTGCCAATAAATTCCTTTTCCATGAACCGCCGAATCAGTGTGCGATCGAGTTGGCCTGGCGTCTGGCCATGTAATCCTCGCGAGCCCGCAACTCTGCGTAGTATTTGGAGACCTTGGCAAGTCGGCAAAAAAACACAGGTCATTTCAGGGTCGTTGCCTTACTACTAGGAGCAAGGACGGTACTAGTAGCAAAGGGCATCGCTACTAGGAGCGAGGACATGCAAGGACGCCACTAGTAGCTCCTGGCCTCACTACTAGGAACAAGAAGCTACTAAGAACAAAGGTACGCAGAGCGACTGCTTCCATGGTCATTTCTTGGCAAAAAGTGTCCAAAAGGGCGTGATGAATGCGAGTTGCGGTCTGCACAGCAGCTGAGGTTCCAGCCCTTGTTTGAGGTTCAGGAATTCCGCGTCGTTGCTTCTTATTGGCCGCCCTAACTCTACCAATACGTTTGAGATTGCAAGGTTTCACATTCACCAAGCTCCCCTTTTCCTGTCTCTCACCCTTCCGTGAACGCTTGCGTGAACCCTGAGGCTGCCCCAGCAGCAGGCAGGACCAACGGCCTGAGGCCTCTTGCCACTCTAAGAGCCGCCCCTTTCGGCCATTCATCTCAGACGCTACGAGGCTGTGCAGTTCGACCAGGTCTCCGCACGCCAAGGTCTCCTCTCCTCCCTCCCCTCCGTCGTCGGCCACCGGTGGCTCGGGCAGGTTTGCTTCCCAGACTTCCAAGCCAGGCTTGGAAAGAGAGTCAAAATGCCGTTGATATCCTGAGGCAGAGAAGACCCAAGCAAACAAGACTCAACAAGTAACAAAGCCATCATTCGACTTCACCAGGGCCTTCGGAGCCGAAGAGTTGCAGCGAGGCCAAGATCACCTCTGCGGCCACAAGGTCCGCCACCTTCAAGCTCCTGAGGACACCCAAAGGAGAAACCCCAAAAGGACATATACCACGAGCTCGTGAGGTGAAGTCCGGGTGACCGAGCTGCCGGGCCTCATCTTCTTGTGGTTTGGAATGCACAGGATCTTCGCAGAATCTTGGAGCGCGGCTTTCCAAGAAGGTAGCATATGCGCTTGGACCAGCACCAAGGTTCCAGGTGCATCCAGAAGACAGCGACCTAAGGCTTCTCCACCACAGGAATTGAATTTGATAGATGTATAGCTGAAGAAGTTCACATGGCACAAATGAAGGGGGCCAACAAGAGCCAAAAGACCACCAGCGACTTTGGTGATCCACCTCATGTCCTTGACAGGCTCATTTGCTCGTCTCGTTTAATTGACAAATAGAACCTGTCGTAGGAAGAGATGATTGTGACTTGAGTGGCCAGAAATCCGATGCCCTGCCTCGATGACGCTGCCGCAAAGGCGCAACGCAATCGTCCAGCGAGGTGAGCAAAGGCGCAAGGCGCTGGATATAGTTGCACCCTTCAGCAGTTGCACTGTGACATTGTCATCGTCTTCTTAAGTCTTCTTTCTCAACTTAGAACCATCCAAACAAACAAACAAACAAACAAAGAAAGTGGGTGTCTCACACTCCGGTTCTTCACTGGAACATGCTCGGCTGCTACAGGATCTGTTCGTGTGATTTCATTTGTTCATCCTTGTCCACAGAAATCCTGAGAACTTCTTGCTAAAGTTGGAGAAGGCTGTGCCTGAAGAGCGAAAAATAAGACCACCTTTCTCGTTGAAGTCACGTTCGACCAGCAGCTCCAAGCACACATCCGTCTGTCAGCAAGATGAGCAGCATGTCGTTTGGTGAATTCCCACACGACTACACTATGGTTCTTTAGTGGAAAACATGAGAAAGCATGAGAAAACCACTATATAATCTGAACATGTCCACTGCTTGATCTGAAGCCATCCTCCACAATCCAAGAAAGAAATATAACCAGAAATAGTTCAAACTTATTGAATAGAAACGGGAAAAGTAGAACTGAGGTCAAACACTCCCTCCAACCTCGCAGAGGTCCTCACGGATGATTTGCCTTGAAGTGTAGGAGCTTCTCGCTTCCTGCAAGCGCATCCAGCCGAGAAGAATCAGCTGTTGTGAAGTTAATGGAGCTCCGGCTGACGGTTGCGCAGGTACAGCCTCGCAACGTGTCTGGTTGATGGCCCAGGCTGGAGACTGCTTCGAGTTTGGCTGGACACAAAGCCGCCAGCTGCAGGTCACATGAGCAGCCCCCCAGTAGTCTGACCACATGAGGGATGTTAGAGCTGATTCCAGTGCAGCTTCCAACGTAAGGTCGACAGCAGGCGGGTTTAGCTGGTGCTTGAAGAGAACACGAAAAGCTAGCAGGCCTCTCGTCTGCCAAAATACCTTCAAACGATTCGACGTATCATGTGGCTTGCCCACATACTTGTCACACGCATGGGCCTTAACTTTTGAACGGGTCAGCCATTCACCGCAGCTACACATGCCATGTTCTTGTCCACCGGACAGCCCGAAAGCCCTTTGAGTCTGGCCAGCTCGCATCCTGCGACCCACAAAGTGACCCGAGATGCCCAGGCAAAACTCGCGAGAGGCCCAACAGCAGTGCAAAACATCTCGAAAGCCCTGTTGACGTCGACCACGAGGCTCGTTCCAAGCCCAAGTTTGCCAAGTCCCCAAAACACCCGGCCGCACGTGCCGGAGGGACTCGGCCCAGTGTTCGGACAAGAAGGTCGCTGCCTGAAAGTCGTTCTTCGTGGCCAACGCTGCGAGGACCCCACTCTGCGCCGCTTGCGCGGCCGCCGACGCCTCGGCCGAGTGCTGCGGCGGATCGACGAAAAGCCCGGCCTTGGGCTGGGCACCTGCACGGCGCATGAGCACACGGCGGCCCGGCTCCAAGTCGGAGCGATCCTGTAAGATCTGCAGTGCGCATTCCAAGTCTGAAGCTTCTTGAAAACTCTCTTGACTTTTCCAGGGGGTAAAGGCAGCCTTGGGCAGTTTGGATCTAGTAAAGGCCTTGGCCGCTTCAGAGATGACACTTTTGTGAATCGAGTCCCACTGATCGGTGGCTCGAGCTGCCACGAAAGGATCAGTCTGCAATCGAGTTGACGGAAGCACAGTTGTAAAGCCATCGGAGTTGAATCCCTTTTGACCCTTGCAGAAAGAAGAAGACCTCAATGAACCAATCATCTCGGGAGGAGAAAGTAGAATGATCTCACCAGCTTTTTCCTCACCATCTTTCTCTTCATGAAAAAAATGCACTTGCTCCTGTAAATAGCGTTCAGCTCTACGTCGCTCTTCTCCAGATCTTGAGAAAACTGGCTCAGTTGTTGTACTTTCCTCCTGACGATTGCAACGCCTCTTGGTCAACCATTGCAGCAGTGCAGGGGCACTCAAATGTCCCACGAAGGTTTTTGCCCGCTCGAGTTTGCGCTTTCGTCCTTTAGGCACAGGTCCGCTCTCTGCTTTCTCAGCACGAAATGACGAGCCAGGAACGATGGCCTCTATATCCAAATCCAAAGGTGTTTGAGGTGAAAGCCTTCCAGAACTCTCTGCAGATTGGGCAGGATTGGAATCTCTCAACTTCGACGGGACCGACTCCGACGCACTCCGGAGACGCACTGAGACCTGGAGGATGCCCAACTCGCCTCCCTCGTCGTGCGGAGCGGTGCCGGGGGGCGACTCGCTCTTGGACCTCGGGGTTTTTGGGGAAAGCCAAAAGCATCATTTGCCTGGACCAAGGAAGCACTCTCTTCAGAGTGTACGTGAGTACATAGTCTTTTTCCGAAGGCATTCACTCAAAGAAAAGCTTGACCTTAACACTGTGATCCCGTCTTCAACATCTAAAGATTCTAGGAGCGCCACATGTTTTTTGACGGGCACACTGCCTGAGGGAGCCCCATTCAAGAGCAAGCCCAATGAATTTCAGGACATCTTCATACTAAGACAGTCATACTAGGAAAGATGAAAATGAGAAGAATCGTATCAATTAAAGAACCTAGAGCCGGCCTCCTTGGTTGAGAGCTTTTGGCCCTCAAAAACGCTTAACTTCCGCAGCTTCTTGCGAACTGGAACCTGGCAACAAATTGCTTTGCAAATAAAAGAAAAAAGGGATGTGGTCATCTTCAATCATCCAGTAGAGTAGACCTTCTTTCTGGTTCTGAGCCAGATTCTCAATGACTGCTTCTGCGACACAAAAAGTGCTGTTCAACTCTGGCTTCGCATCCAGCCTCTTCGGTCTCATCCGCTTCATATTCGAAGCTTAGCTTCACCGCGCCTGCTTTTCTCGCGACAAACGACCCGTCGGGAGCTGTCCGAACAACAGAAGCATGCACACTGTTCCAACCATTCCAGAACCCGTCGGAGTACAAAAGAACTGGCACTGCTTCTTTCACAGAGGGTCAATTCATAGTTCAAGATTCCACCAACTCTGCTTGGTCCTTGGTCTTGAAGGCACAAGTAGGTGTGTCTATATCAGTCAAGCGGGCTTGACACAAGAGACATGCCTTGAGACAGCAGTATGGTGTCGCCGGAAGCAAGCGACCTCCGTTGGCCTTTGCAAGGGTAAGTGTCCGGGGAAACTGCGCACAAAAGAAACGAGCAGTATGTAAGTAGCTGACAGTTAACAACAATCAAACAAGCGAATCCACGAAGGCCAAGAAGTGATACAAAACCAATGAAAACCAGGAATAGGGGGGGAACTGAATGGAAATAGATAAGAATCAGAATGTGTTCATATCTAAGAACGTCAAGATTATACAAGAGTCCACAAGGGGGAACCGGAGCAGGAAGCACTCCCGATGGTAACTATGCAAGAGTCCATGAGGGGGGCGCGGGGAAATGCTATGAAAAGGGTCCATCTTTCATTCCACTTGTCACTTCTCTGGGAATGAAAATAGGGTGCAGGTTGACATCCAAATGAAACCCAAGCGCGTCACCCTTCGGCAAGCGCATTCTGTTCACGTAGGTGCCGTTCCTCACAGCAGGTCATCAAACTTCAAACTCATGTATCCATCTGAACGATACACGCACATCACTTAAATCTATGCAAATGGTCGTGCGTCTATCAATCTATTCACACATCAAATATCGATCGCATCTGGACGCGAAACCCAAGACAACCCCTTCTTCACCTCAAACTGCCTTGCGTTCAATTGGATTCCTTTTCACCAAAATGGAAAGGCAAAAAAAGAAAATAACGGAATGAAAAGCATCCAAAGAACCCGTGCGCCACACGTCCTCCGTCGTCCGCGTTCCGGTCGTTCCCGTCACGTGGAGAATTCCGCCCAGGCACGTGCTGCGATCCTCCACGGTGAGCCCTCCGTCCCTGGACGGTCCACCCGAACGCGGACCGACCGGTGAGAAAGCGACGGGCCGTTCGTGCGAGGTCACCGTGACTCAGGGCGTGATCTCGGGCTGACAAGCAGATACTGAACTTCAGAACTGGGGACAATCAATGGGTAACGGGTAACGATTCGTATGGATCACTGCAAGGGCCACCTGAGAACAATGCATTTCTACGGAGCCCTATGCTACAAAACGATGCTATCCAAATCACTTGTTGTGCGCACTCTTCTGGATCTGTTGGTCTGAGAACTAGACCCATCACAAAGCAAAGTGCAATGGCTACCTCAATCTGTTCTCATGCGAGAACAGAACGAATGCGAGACAATGCAGCGAGACAGTGGGACGTTCAGATCAAGTAGCTGAAGAATTGCAAGACATGACACAAGATTCGAAGCCTGAAAACATTGGACATACACACCAACCCTTTAAACCATTTTAGGATCTTTTAGGGTATGTTCCATTCATCCGACCTGACGTTGCCCCACATGAGCTGCTATGCAAGCATAGATGCCCAGTCCAGAAGGGGAAAGTGGGCAACATGGTTTTTGTGTGCTAGCGTTCCTAGCAAGCTCAGGCGAACAGTCAACAGGATCACTCGTGTACTCCTCATTGTGGCCGGGATGGTGCCCCTGTCCATTATGTTGTTTGGTCATCTCTCCAACTGCAACTCCACCAACTCAGCTTGTGGCTACTCACTGCTGGATCAGAGAGGACCATATCGCAACATGCTGCACGGCCAATCGTGAAGATGCCTCTGTGTTGTGTCAAGTAGAGATGCTTTCTTCATCAAGGTAGGCGAGGGTGCTACTGTCAACACAACTACTCAATTGATGAACCAATATAGCGATGGCCTCCAATCTAATAGCGATGGCCTACAACCTAAAAGCGATGGCCTCCAATCTAATGGCGATGGCCTCCAATCTAATAGCGATGGCCTCCAACCTAAGAGCGATGGCCTCCAACCTAATAGCCATGGCCTCCAACCTAAGAGCGATGGCCTCCAACCCAATAGCCATGGCCTCCAACCTAAAAGCGATGGCCTCCAATCTAATAGCGATGGCCTACAACCTAAGAGCGATGGCCTCCAACCTAATAGCGATGGCCTCCAACCTAATAGCGATGGCCTCCAACCTAATAGCGATGGCCTCCAACCTAAGAGCGATGGCCTCCAACCAAATAAATCAAATACAGTAGGTTCCAAATGCAACTTTCCCAGAATCACAGAGTCTTCGCAGCAAAGCATCATGCGCCCCCACTAAAGGTGCCTTGAGACAGCCGCACGGATGTACCGCCAGGTTGCGTCCTGTAGGAGATCGGAAACGAATCGGACTGATGATGGTGTTGACAAAGAAAACTCGTCGAGGGATGCAAAACATTCGAAGTGCTGCAGACCTGACTGACCACACCATGGCACGGCCCGTGTCTGTCTATCGACAAGGTCCAGGTAAATATATTTTGGAAGCAGAGTTCTTAAGTTAATGCTGTGTGTGTGTGTGAGTGTGTCTGTGTGCGTGTGTTTGTGTTAGGACTAATATGCTGACAATGAGTTAACATGTGGCTCTTAATTTCGACCATCTCCCCTCAGTACCTTGAAGTTGAAAGCGAAGGGAAAAGCTGGAAGCACAAAATTGGATGCATCAAGGCATCCACAAGGGTTCCCTCCTTCAACTGATATGATATGTGGTGCTTCATTCCGATCAAGATCCATTGCATATCAATACCAGTGACTGCCTCGTTCCTGAACATGCAGATGGAAAACACATCACCAGCCTCCTTTTTGATCTTGTCCTTGTCTTCCTATCAAATCAGTTGAGGCAGCTGCCAATTCAAACTTTCCTGGTTTCCTTCCATAGCTGTTTTCTCTTGCACATCAAAGAGAAATTGTGCCACTCAGAATGTCAACCAAAAGCCTTCCAAAAAACATCTCGCAAAAAAAATAATGTATCGATATGGATGTTCCTGCCTGCTCCAACGAGCCCTTGATAAAGCAGAAACCTTTTTGCGCCAGCAGGGTTCCCAAATGTTTGGAAGCCGTGTACCTGCAGTCAAAGGCAGTGTTCCTTCACATACTGGGCATCTAGTTGACCTGCACCAAGCATCGCTGAGCTGAGCTGCCCACCAGTCCAGTTTGTGAAAGTCTAAAATATCCTGGGTTTGTTCAATCTTGTCATGTTCAACTTTCGCTCTACTGCATTGAGCAACCTTCAATGTATCCAAGTGGCAAAGCATGCGGGGCTCGGTAAAGCCATGATTAAAAAAAAATGCACTGCCAAGGCGACTGTACAAATGATGAGTTGCTGTTTCTAGCTGGTCCACACTACGTGTCTTTTATTAGTTCATAATGTCAGACTGCTGAAATTAATGCAAAAAAGGCAACTGCTGTCGACTCGTTGACTCTAAGGTTTTGTAATTGCACTGCGTCGTTTTGATGAATCATTCTACCACTGGAAGTGCGCTGTAGGCGGTATATTCCCCGCAAATTCCGTGAGTTGATTTGTGCGATGCTGGTTTTTCATGACATATGTTCAGGGTGCTGAAGCCCAAAGCGAATGTAGACAATGCTTGAAAACAAACAAACAAACAAACAAACAAACAAATTTGAGAGAGGAGGGGGTGAACGAAAGGTAGCAGGGAATCAGGCGTAACCCTGGAGGAGGTCAGGGCCCCCCTGTTGAACAGAAGCCCTGGCTAGAGGATCAAAGTTAAGGCAAAGCACCAAGTACTGAAGCCTAGACACTTTTCGAAGCACCAAATACTTTTCGACCATGTTTGAAGCCTAGACACTTGAAAAACCATCGGATTTTACGAGGTGTTTGGCCGGACAGCCACAGAAAGCCCTGTCCATTGCATGGTTTGAGGCCACTCTTGCAAACTGGAGGAGCTGAAAACACTGGTATTGACGGTGTTTTGTAGCTGTTGACAAAGAACCCGCCAGGGTGGAGTTGACGGTGTTTTGTGGCCACTTTGAAGCGTACATAGCTTAAAACCATCCCAATTTACAGGGCTTTGTGCCAGGAAGCCGCGCGAGCCCGTGTAAGTACCGTCGTTTTTGTGTGACTTTGAAGCCTCCAAGCGCCGAAAAAACCCTTTCCGCCACCAAAAAACCTGCAAATAGCGTGGTTTGAGGCCACTCTTGAAGACAGGAGGAGCTGAAAGTACGGTGTTTTGTGGCCACTTTGAAGCGTACATAGCCCAAAACCATCGCAATTTTCAGGGTTTTGTGCCGGGAAGGCGCACAAACCCGTGTAAATACCGTCGTTTTGTGCCCTTTAGAAGCCTCCAAAAGCCGAAAAATGCCTTTCCGACAAAATTTTTCCATGTTTTGGGCAATTTTTCGACCATGTTTGAAGCCTAGACGCTTGAAAAAACAATCGGTTTTTATGATGTTTTTGGCCGGACAGCCACAGAAAACCATGTAAATTGCATGGTTTGAGGCCACTCTTGCAGACTGGAGGAGCTGAAAACACTAAAATTTACGGTGTTTTGTGGCCGTTGACAAAGAGCCGCGCGAGGGTGGAGTTGAAAGGGGGGGGGGGCCCCCCGCCTCGGCCTCAAAAATGAAATGTCGGAGGCGATTCTCAGTGAGATGGGTCCACTCTGGTTGAAAAAAGGTCGTCGAATTTTTTGCCACTCAGTAGGGATAGGCTGAGTCAGGGGCTCTGGAACACGGAGTCCAGGAGAGGAAATGATGAATAGTGCTGATGGGAAATTGGCTGCGGGCGTCGATTAGGTGGGGTCATGACAGTAGGGGTAAGGCTCCGAAGTTCAGGATTTCCCGAGACATCCAGGTCTGTGAAGCGTTGGACCAGGCTATGGACCAAGAGGTCCAAACGTTCAATTTTCCAAGTTTTCAACTGCCTGACGTTTCACGCCGAGGATGAGTGCACTTCCCACTGGAAGGCAGAGAGTTTTCCTTTCTGAAGGGCGTCACCTTCCTCCAAGACGCGAATCTCTTTCTCTTCCGCAGTCTCGGAGAACATCAAGTGTTTGGATTTGATTTGCCTGTAGACCTCACCGTAATCATCCTTGACCGTTTCCGTGCCGAGATTCTTTCGGTAAATCAGCTCACTCATACGTTTTCAAACGGCGCTGCTTCAAGCTTTTCCACGTCAGTCATCCCGTCCCCATCATTTGCTGACCCAATCGTTGCTTCGAAAGAGTCATAGAACTCCTGGACTGACCGGTAGTCGCTACACTTATGATCCAACGTGGGCCAATGGACTTTTGGGCTGACTTGAATGGTGAGCTCCTGGCGCTCCTCCTTGGAGTCCCTCTTGAGGATCGGCCGCTCGAGCATCTTCAGCGCCGCCCCAACCTCCTCGAAGGGATGCCTCTGCAGAGGCAGGTCGAATTGGAAGCCCCTGAATACTGAAGTGTGTGAAGTCTGTGATATGGTTCTGGAGTTGGCGCATGAAGTTCTGCAATTAATGACATGGTATATGGGGCGTTGTGAGTTGGCAGATGAACTTCGGAAGCCATGGAGCGGCATGCATGGAACACAAGCCCGACAGGTGGCACAGGGAGTTACGACGTTCTCAGTGGTATGCGTGGTGCGTTGTGAGGTAGTGCATGCACAAGTCTGTATGTATGTCTATGTGTCGGTATACAGTAAATGAATGTAAACGACACAACTGGCCATAGCATATCACAGTGCACCTGCAATCGTGAAAAACAACCGCCTGTAATCGTGAACGAAAGAAGCTATGCCATGTCTGAAGGCCCACGTCATTCAGACATGGCACGCATCCGTCTTGAACCGCGGCGAAGCGGCATCAAATTGATTGAAGGTTCAGTGCAAACTCACGCCAACACCGATCGACGAATGTTGACAAAGTTCAACCGCAATGATTTACAACCCAACGAAGAACCCTTCAAAGACTCCTGCAAACCGCACCCACAGAGTTTCATCCAAGGCTGTTGAGGGTCCCGACAACAAGGCTCTGCAGGCCATGGTGAAGGTTCCAACCTGATGGCGCACAGCACAGGACGCAAAGGAACCCATGACTTGGAGGGCCTCAAACGTACACCTTCCTGACTCGAGCTCAAATGATTTGCCTATTTCTTTCAAAGGGCTCCGGGCTCCGTCTATTATTCAAACACATTTCCAAAACACAAAGCAGCTCTGCGCTTTGAAGCAGCACTAAGAATGCCTACTCGCGCACATCAAAATGATGCACCGATGGGTCGACCTGAGTGTTGGGAAACTCGGCCTCATTGCTCAAAGTCTCTCCAGCTGCTCGCCGTTGTTTTTTTGGTGATGGAGTATCGATCAAGGGGTCATGCGTTTCAGTCTCTTCTTGGGCGATGCACGCTTCTTCCTCGTAGGCACCTGCCCCTCGCCCTTTTGGACCAAAGCCCTCATGTAGGCAATGTTCTTGTGGGACAGCTCAATCCACAGGTCCTTGGACTTCACACCGAACAACAAGACCTGGACCTCCCGGGAGGGATACGTCTCCCCTTTGTATTCAAACCCTGGCGGCACGATCTTAACAACAGGATCAACCAAGCACGCATCTTCGTCCCGCACCCTCTTCTTGCGGCGCTGACTCGCGGGCTCATCAGGTTCAGGCATCTCCATTTGCGCGCTCACGGAGGCAACACTGGCAGTCTTCCTCAAAGCCAGCAAATCCTCAAAGAGTGTGCTGTTGGCCGATCTCCCCACACCTCGAGACAAATCCATAGGCCTCTGAAGACCGAATTGACAAAATGGCGATCGAATTTGCTCAGCCTCACAAACTCTACTCCTCCCTGCGCGTCGATCTCAGGATACCACTTCACTGATCCTGATTTGAGCAGCCAGGTCGGCTGCATGAGAAAGGAGGCTGGATCCAAAGGGTCCTGCTGCATGATCTCTTCTTCATTCTCGCTCTCTACGACTTCAGCTTCGGCCATGGGCAATATACAATCTAACGAATCTAAGACGAGCCAAGTTCAGGCCCTAAGCCCTGCCACTTAAACGTATCAAAGGGTTGCATATTGGAGGTTCGCTTTGACATGACACGCAATGCCAATCAAGAACTCTTGCAAACACACATTCAAACGTTTACCAAATCACTTTTCATTGTAAGATGACAAGCTCTGCCAATCAAGAGTTCTTGCAATCACACACAAAGACATTTGCGAGAGCAACTTCACAGTCCAGAATCATTCCTTCACTTGCCCCCGCATATCACAAGGCTCCCGGCTCAAAGTCGTGTGACCAACCAGCCTTCATGACAAGCTTACACAGGTTTGGTTTTTGCGCCTCTGTGATTCAGAAAGGCCAAACAAAGAACATACCAAACTTCCAGACCTCACAACAAAGTTTCACCTTGGATTTGGTCCTGGCGCGCTTGGCAGGCGGTGGCGCGGCGATGGGAGCTAGTGGCTCTGGCTCCCCTTCCACTTTCACTTGGGGCGTATAGACAAT